TGGCCTTTTAACAAGCTCCCATAACTGTAGCCGTGTGGCAACCTCTTCCTAGCTCAGTGCTCAACCCCCAACGCTTGCCATCACTTGCCCCACACAGAGCTTCCCCGGCCCATGGGCCCAAAACCCTCCTCAACGAGTTTAGCCACGCAAAGTGCCGTTGCCTTTCGTGCGAGGTTCCCGCGATGGATGGCCTGCCGCCAGGCAGCTGAGCTGGGCTCTCAGGGCAAAGCATCCAACACCGTCGCATCATGGGTTCGGGAATGTAGGAGCTGTGCTTGAAAGGCTGGTAGCTCAACAAGGGCAGCAAAGAACTTTTGGAGCTTGCCCCTGGGACATCTACGACTCCACCCCGACAGAGCAAGTGCCTGGATCTTTACGGCCGCTTCCTCCTGCTCCTTGTCTTGCGCAGCCTCCTGGTGAAGCCAGGTACTCTTGGCATCTCTCGACGACATATGTCCGAGCTAACGACAACTGAGCGAGGTTGGTCGAGGCCTCCGGTCAAACCAATTACAGCCGCAGTTGCCCCGCGTGCCCCTCCTTCGCATCCTTGGTCGGCTTCTCCTGCTTGCGGCCTTCCTGGAAACGACTTCAGCTTGCCAGTTTCTGCGAACATGGAAAAGCATTCTGGCCTTTTAACAAGCTCCCATAACTGTAGCCGTGTGGCAACCTCTTCCTAGCTCAGTGCTCAACCCCCAACGCTTGCCATCACTTGCCCCACACAGAGCTTCCCCGGCCCATGGGCCCAAAACCCTCCTCAACGAGTTTAGCCACGCAAAGTGCCGTTGCCTTTCGTGCGAGGTTCCCGCGATGGATGGCCTGCCGCCAGGCAGCTGAGCTGGGCTCTCAGGGCAAAGCATCCAACACCGTCGCATCATGGGTTCGGGAATGTAGGAGCTGTGCTTGAAAGGCTGGTAGCTCAACAAGGGCAGCAAAGAACTTTTGGAGCTTGCCCCTGGGACATCTACGACTCCACCCCGACAGAGCAAGTGCCTGGATCTTTACGGCCGCTTCCTCCTGCTCCTTGTCTTGCGCAGCCTCCTGGTGAAGCCAGGTACTCTTGGCATCTCTCGACGACATATGTCCGAGCTAACGACAACTGAGCGAGGTTGGTCGAGGCCTCCGGTCAAACCAATTACAGCCGCAGTTGCCCCGCGTGCCCCTCCTTCGCATCCTTGGTCGGCTTCTCCTGCTTGCGGCCTTCCTGGAAACGACTTCAGCTTGCCAGTTTCTGCGAACATGGAAAAGCATTCTGGCCTTTTAACAAGCTCCCATAACTGTAGCCGTGTGGCAACCTCTTCCTAGCTCAGTGCTCAACCCCCAACGCTTGCCATCACTTGCCCCACACAGAGCTTCCCCGGCCCATGGGCCCAAAACCCTCCTCAACGAGTTTAGCCACGCAAAGTGCCGTTGCCTTTCGTGCGAGGTTCCCGCGATGGATGGCCTGCCGCCAGGCAGCTGAGCTGGGCTCTCAGGGCAAAGCATCCAACACCGTCGCATCATGGGTTCGGGAATGTAGGAGCTGTGCTTGAAAGGCTGGTAGCTCAACAAGGGCAGCAAAGAACTTTTGGAGCTTGCCCCTGGGACATCTACGACTCCACCCCGACAGAGCAAGTGCCTGGATCTTTACGGCCGCTTCCTCCTGCTCCTTGTCTTGCGCAGCCTCCTGGTGAAGCCAGGTACTCTTGGCATCTCTCGACGACATATGTCCGAGCTAACGACAACTGAGCGAGGTTGGTCGAGGCCTCCGGTCAAACCAATTACAGCCGCAGTTGCCCCGCGTGCCCCTCCTTCGCATCCTTGGTCGGCTTCTCCTGCTTGCGGCCTTCCTGGAAACGACTTCAGCTTGCCAGTTTCTGCGAACATGGAAAAGCATTCTGGCCTTTTAACAAGCTCCCATAACTGTAGCCGTGTGGCAACCTCTTCCTAGCTCAGTGCTCAACCCCCAACGCTTGCCATCACTTGCCCCACACAGAGCTTCCCCGGCCCATGGGCCCAAAACCCTCCTCAACGAGTTTAGCCACGCAAAGTGCCGTTGCCTTTCGTGCGAGGTTCCCGCGATGGATGGCCTGCCGCCAGGCAGCTGAGCTGGGCTCTCAGGGCAAAGCATCCAACACCGTCGCATCATGGGTTCGGGAATGTAGGAGCTGTGCTTGAAAGGCTGGTAGCTCAACAAGGGCAGCAAAGAACTTTTGGAGCTTGCCCCTGGGACATCTACGACTCCACCCCGACAGAGCAAGTGCCTGGATCTTTACGGCCGCTTCCTCCTGCTCCTTGTCTTGCGCAGCCTCCTGGTGAAGCCAGGTACTCTTGGCATCTCTCGACGACATATGTCCGAGCTAACGACAACTGAGCGAGGTTGGTCGAGGCCTCCGGTCAAACCAATTACAGCCGCAGTTGCCCCGCGTGCCCCTCCTTCGCATCCTTGGTCGGCTTCTCCTGCTTGCGGCCTTCCTGGAAACGACTTCAGCTTGCTAGTTTCTGCGAACATGGAAAAGGATTCTGGCCTTTTAACAAGCTCCCATAACTGTAGCCGTGTGGCAACCTCTTCCTAGCTCAGTGCTCAACCCCCAACGCTTGCCATCACTTGCCCCACACAGAGCTTCCCCGGCCCATGGGCCCAAAACCCTCCTCAACGAGTTTAGCCACGCAAAGTGCCGTTGCCTTTCGTGCGAGGTTCCCGCGATGGATGGCCTGCCGCCAGGCAGCTGAGCTGGGCTCTCAGGGCAAAGCATCCAACACCGTCGCATCATGGGTTCGGGAATGTAGGAGCTGTGCTTGAAAGGCTGGTAGCTCAGCAAGGGCAGCAAAGAACTTTTGGAGCTTGCCCCTGGGACATCTACGACTCCACCCCGACAGAGCAAGTGCCTGGATCTTTACGGCCGCTTCCTCCTGCTCCTTGTCTTGCGCAGCCTCCTGGTGAAGCCAGGTACTCTTGGCATGTCTCGACGACATATGTCCGAGCTAACGACAACTGAGCGAGGTTGGTCGAGGCCTCCGGTCAAACCAATTACAGCCGCAGTTGCCCCGCGTGCCCCTCCTTCGCATCCTTGGTCGGCTTCTCCTGCTTGCGGCCTTCCTGGAAACGACTTCAGCTTGCCAGTTTCTGCGAACATGGAAAAGCATTCTGGCCTTTTAACAAGCTCCCAGAACTGTAGCCGTGTGGCAACCTCTTCCTAGCTCAGTGCTCAACCCCCAACGCTTGCCATCACTTGCCCCACACAGAGCTTCCCCGGCCCATGGGCCCAAAACCCTCCTCAACGAGTTTAGCCACGCAAAGTGCCGTTGCCTTTCGTGCGAGGTTCCCGCGATGGATGGCCTGCCGCCAGGCAGCTGAGCTGGGCTCTCAGGGCAAAGCATCCAACACCGTCGCATCATGGGTTCGGGAATGTAGGAGCTGTGCTTGAAAGGCTGGTAGCTCAACAAGGGCAGCAAGGAACTGTTGGAGCTTGCCCCCTGGGACATCTACGACTCCACCCCGACAGAGCAAGTGCCTGGATCTTTACGGCCGCTTCCTCCTGCTCCTTGTCTTGCGCAGCCTCCTGGTGAAGCCAGGTACTCTTGGCATCTCTCGACGACATATGTCCGAGCTAGTGACAACTGTAAGAAGGAGATTTGGTGTACTTAGGGTTTATGATTTAAACGGTTTAGGGTTTAGGGTGGCAGCCATCCCTGGCGAAGCTTTTCTCACGCTGAAGGAACATGGAGCTGCCTGCGGGTCGTTTCCTTTGTCCTTCCCCACGTGCTCTTCCGATACCAAGCAAGGCTTAAACAGCCAAAAAGCCGTGAGCCCCGAATACTATTTCAGGTCTATGGGTTGGCCCAAAAGGCCAAAAACTCCTAAGGCCCTCTAAACCCTAAACCCTAAACCCGAAACCCTTTGGCCCCTTGAGACTGCAAGATTCCTGAGGGTGCTTGCGGCCCTTAACCTTCTCGTAGGCCTAACCGCCCCGTAAGCTCTCGGAGGCCTGTCAGGCCCTTAGGCCTGAAGCTCTCTAGGCCCTTGGGGCCCTTGAGGTCCCAAGGGCCGCTTTCAGCCACCTGTAGATTTTGGGGTTTTTCTGGTTTGAGGCCCTTTTTGGGGGGTTTTCCTGGTGTGAGGCCGGGTTTGAGGCCTCCTTGGGGACTGGAGGGCATTTCGCCAAGTTTCGCCCCCTGTGTCTGTATTTCTGTCCCTCAAGGGTTGTGATAGTCAACACAATCCTCTGAGGGACAGAAATACAGGCACAGGGGGCGAAACTTGGCGAAAAGCCCTCCAATCCCCAAGGAGGCCTCAAACCCGGCCTGAAAAAAATCCGAAAAACCCCCCAAAAAAAGAGCCTCAAACCAGAAAAACCCCAAAATCTACAGGTGGCTTCTAGGGGCCTTAAGTGAAGCTTAGAGGTTTTGAGGTGCCTCAAGAATCTTAGAGCTTTCAAGGGGCCCTGAGACAAGCTTAAGGGCCGGCAGGGCCCTAGGATCCTGGAATCTTTAAGGGGCCCAAAACCCTCCAGGGCCCCAAGGGCCTCAGAGAGCTTAAGGGCCTTAAAGGAATCTCGGAGACTTCAGGGGCCTAAGGGCCTGACCCGATTTGCTTACAATCTGGCAGTTTCGGCTTCGGATACCATACCCTTCCATCAAAGCCAAGGCAACCAAATCTGTGAACCCGGCTCATCGTGGCTTTTTGTTTGATTTTAGGTTATATGTGTAATGTTTTGCAACCCCAAAAGCTGTGTATCTACTATACTGCTAAAAGTGGGTCACAAGGACAATGGGAAACTCCCATGTGAGCCCACAATGTGGGCTGCCCCTCAAAACTTCTGCGCGAAGATGCGTGCATTCAAATGGCCGTTCTCATGGCTCTGCTGCTTGCGAGGATGGCCCTCAAAAACCCCTTGCGCGAAATATTCCTAACTTGATCCGTCTTAAACCCAAGAAAGGAAAATATAGAATATCCCAAAATCACAGGACTGCAAAATCGATGCTGCAGCCGCCGACTTCTGCAGCGTGCCACGGGCTTCTCCTCAGCGGGGACAGCCATCGCCATATCCACCGTTGTCGTGATACACGCTTTCGGCGAGTTGGGCCGGGCAGTCAGCCTCGTGGAAGATGCCAACCAATGCCACCACGCCCGTGATGTCCAATGTGTCCAAGTTGCCCACAATGCCCTCGCCATTGCCAAAAGGGTAAGAAGGGTCATTCATCCAGTCCATGTCACTGGCATGTTCCTCAAGAGCCGCATCCACAAAGGAGGTGCAAGCGTGAGCCTTCAGGGCTGTCTTGAAGGCGTCACGCAACCTCTTCTTTGCCTCCGCCTTGATGGTGAACTTCCCCAGGTCCTTCACGGCCTTCTGGCGAACGAGCTTCTTGGTCGTCTCTTCTGCGACCTGAAGTTCTTAAGAAGCGGTCCAGGCCTAAAGCCCAAAGCTAGGGGAGAGGATTTGGGGGGACCCTTAGCTGAGTAAGGCCCCTGTTTAAGAGAGCCAGAAGAGGCTTAAGAAGGGCTCCCTGTTAAGGGTCCCCCCCTTGGGCTGAGAGTGACTTGGCTAAAATGTTACGGGTCCCCCCTTATCCTACCTAAAAAAAGACCTGGCCTCGTCACTCAAGCCCACGGCCTTCCGTGCCAGCACCCGGCCCTTCGCGACAAGCCTGGCTCCTTCCACAGGGTTTAGGGTTTAAAGGGTTTAGGGTTTAGGTTTAGGGTTTAGGGTTTAGGGTTTAGGGTTTAGGGTTTAGGGTTTAGGGTTTAGGGTTTAGGGTTTAGGGTTTAGGGTTTAGGGTTTAGGGTTTAGGGTTTAGGGTTTAGGGTTTAGGGTTTAGGGTTTAGGGTTTAGGGTTTAGGGTTTAGGGTTTAGGGTTTAGGGTTTAGGGCTGGGGGCCCTAAACCCTAAACCCTAAACCCTAAACCCTAAACCCTAAACCCTAAACCCTAAACCCTAAACCCTAAACCCTAAACCCTAAACCCTAAACCCTAAACCCTAAACCCCAACCTGGCCTTTTTTCACATAGGACTCGGCAAGATCCCTCGCCCGCTGGGAGATGAACTTGCTGGAGGCCTGCCCAACTGCGCTCCGCTACTTGGAGGTTCATGGTAGTTATTAACAGGATTTAGGGTTTAGGGTTTAGGGTTTAGGGTTTAGGGTTTAGGGTTTAGGGTTTAGGGTTTAGGGTTTAGGGTAAGTGTACTTATGTATGTACTTGTAACCATATTAGGGCACTTAAGGGGCTTATACGTGGGTTATAAGCACAGCTAGTCATCAGTTGCTAAGTACCCTGAACCTCCAAGTCGACTCCGTCACGCTCCCGTGAGTCCCCCAGAGACTTACTGTTGGTTAGTAGGGGATGAGGGAATCAGGTGCCCTATGTAACCCCTTAAAGGGTGTATGTATGTATGTATATATATATATAGGGGGGATATAGTATAAGGTACCTCATTCCCTCATGCCCTACTAACCAACAGGAAGAAGAGAAGCCTTCAATCCTGGAGCCCTAACCACCCATTGCTTAAGAACCCCCCCCCCCCCAAAAAAAAAAATAATAATAAGAAATAATAATAAAATAAACGATTCTTCCTTATAAGGGAAACATAGGGGTTATTATCTTGTTTTTGGGGCCCATCAGCAAATAGTAGCTGACCCAGGCCTTGGCCGCTCTTCCGGCGACTTTCTTCAGCGCCGTCTTCGCGGCCGTCTTGGCGGCGGCCTTGGCGACGTTGGCGCCGCCGCCGGTGCCGACGAGCATGGCGATGTCGGCCGCCATCTGGGGGGGCGGGGGGGGGGGGGGGCGGGGTCCGGGTTTTCGCCAAGGGCCCCTACGCTACGGATTTACAGAGAAGAGACGTCCCACAAGGAACTCCGAAATCAATGGAGCCACCTCGAAGATGATCAGCATCGCCTGGGCCAGCTTCTCGCCCACGACTTGATCGCAGGTGCCCGGGTCAACGCAGTAGCAACCACAAGTCACCTTCCCAATCTTGGGGCAATCAGTACCTCCGGAAATCTCACAGAAGGTGTTGAAGAGCACATCAACGAACTTCCGGTCGGTTTCGTTTTGGGACGCCAGCGCTTGCATCAAGCTGGCGTTCTTCCTCACCATCTCCGCCTTGTAAGAGGAGAAGTTTCAACTATTGGTTGCGAGGGTTTCTTCAACTTGCGTCTGCCCAACCCTAAACCCTGAACCCTAAACCCTAAACCCTAAACCCTGAACCCTAAACCCTAAACCCTAT